AAAGTGGACGATTATAAAATAATATGTATATCTAATGTTATAATAATACGCATTTACGTGTGTATACACAATACACATATAGTATATGTACAACCTACGCATTGTATATTAGTCCCGATCGATTAAAATCCAGAAACCGATATCGGGCGCTATAATATTAACCGTACGAGGTACATATTATACATAATTGCAAAGTAATTGGACAGATAAACAATGTTGTTCACGATAATATATAATTATACACAAAATATACGGGATGATTCGCCGAGTATGCTGCGCACCGTAATTTTTTCCTTCAAATGACAATGAATGTGTTTGAATTCTGAACAATTTGAAGACAACAATTTTGATGTGAATTAATTAGTGGATAATTTTTTTTTTTAATGTCTATGCATCCTATAGTCCAAAATTCGGACAAATGATTTCTAAGTTATTATAGAATATTTACTATAAGGATAATAGTCCTTAAAAATGATTTTATAAAAATATAAAATAGACATAACATTAGTTCTAGTATTTAATTTGCATGGGCCATTTTTACAAATCATTTTAACTGTCGGTAGATTAATATTAACTATTACTTTAATTTTGAAATCATCATACATCTTTCAAATTCATTATCCCGGATATAATATAATCTTTAGCAAGCAAAGTTAAATAGCTCACAACCTAAGCGTTAGGGTTATGATTTTAATAGGTCAACATTTTCAGAAAAATTATCCGCTAAATAAGTTACGGACAAAAAACTGGGGGGAGGTTCTTATTTGAAAAAAATAAGTTTTTATTCACACTAAGACACTTCTTGAATTCAGCACAAAAAATCTCAAAATATAGTCTTTATAAGTATAATATAATGTTTAAAAATTCCAAAACTCAGATTTTGAATAACTGCACTGTTTACTAAGGAAAAAAAAATGGGGTGAGCGTGCTTTGAAGAATCACTCTGTATAATAATACTATATACAGCACACCCTCGTAGCGTTCAATTATTCCATCGTCTATAGTTAATGGTTAGGAAATCGATTTTGAAACGAACGCGTTCCCTCCCCGATAATCGTCCTCTGACACGTTTATAATAATATATGTACGCTAAAACGCTCGTATGGCTGGTGGATATAATAAATAGCTACTGTGTAGGTATATGGAGATATAGGTTGAGCGTTCGTGCAATGATCTTAATCGCGTGTACTTTTTAATATTAATACGTACTATACGAGCCAAAAACATAATATACGTTATCCGTCGAGTGGATTATTAAAAAAAAAAAAAGTGTTTGAAACGTTTGATTTTCGGTGAAAAATAATACAAACAACTTCGTGACTGCTAGTATATAATTATGTATAAATATAGATATTATAAAATATGTACTACACGAAATCAAATAGTCACAAATCGTATCGATAGGTCTAGTGTTGTCCCACACGGCATAATATTTCATCAGTATAAATATGCAGACGGTTGACGACGTTCCGGCGGCTTCGCGTTCGTTTTTCGATCATCTGTGCGGTCCGTTCTTCGCGGCGTTTCGAGTTTTGGGCGTCTGTCCGTATACGAGAGGTCGAAATGGTACTATATCACAGTATTATTGTGTGCAATATGTTTTATTTTAAAAAAACCCCTTTTTATTGTTAAACTGCAGTCGTACTATTAAAATAATATAGCATTGTCCGTTAGATATCTTATTGTTGTGGTCCTTCGTCATGAGAAATCAGCCCTGCATAGTTATTCCGTCTCCCTTCGAGTGATTAATAATATACTCTAAGCTGCACACCGTCTTGTTTCTGATTTCCGATCGTTGAGGCCTCGCGAATCCGCCGACGATTTAAGCCGTTTCGCATAATCGCTTTCGACGAGTGCGGAGTGCATATTGTTTTTACCAGATCTAAATCCTTATATTAGGTAGGTACAGACAAAAGAACGAGCCTTTTCCATGAGCCACGTTTCTGACGACACAATCGAATTTATATACGATTTGTTTTCACTGAATTGTTCACAGCACTCCCCCGAGCCGAGTCCCATTCTTTGAAAATTTTGACAGGATGCGCTATGGGAGAATAAATACTTTTACCGAAAATATGTCATTAAACCATAAAGATTTTCCAGTTCAATTCAGAAGGGTTCAGTTTCCGAGAAAAGTTTGTTTTTCAATGAACAAAGCGCAAGGTCAGACATTATATTGCATTGTAGAGTGGGTTTGGAAAGCAACTGTTCCTCACATGGACAACAATAATATTGTACGTAGGGTTTTCTAGAGCGGAAAGACTTGATCGTATTTTATACGTCTGTGTACACCACAAAATAAAACTCTGAATGTAGTATATCAAGTTGTTTTGACCACCCTTATTATGTTATTCGTGAGTATAGTATTACAAACCGAGTGCAATCTGTAGTAATATAATTGAATTAATTATATTCCAGATATACATTGATTAAATTAATATTATATAATATATATGTATATATAATCGTATGAATTAGTCAGTACTTTCCAAATTCACATCGTGCAAGAGTTCATCTGTGGTATTCAAATAAAAATTCGTATAAACTGCAGCTAACATATTATTTTGTATTGTGATTATAATATCACAATCTGTGTACACAATCATTTGTAAATATCATAAATTAAGTTAAATATATATTGTAACTATTACATTTTCGTGCAAAACTGCAGGCGCACGGGCGAAACCGGGAAATTTAGCTAGTGTTTATAATATATATAATATATATAGTATATACCACAGTAATAATTATTGGTGAATAATTATTATTGTGGACACTGCTTTGTATTATTATTGTCCCGGAAAACGTTTGTAAATAAGCACCCCGCTGCCATCTCCATTATAATAATATTGTGTAGTGGCAGCGTTTGCTGTTATTATTATTACTAATATTAATAATATCATCATTATCATCGTCATCGTCGTTACTATTATTATTATTATTATTATTATTATCATCATTGTCGTATATATTATTATTGTTATTATTATTATTACACAACCGTGTACTCTTCGTGCATTTACCATTTTGTTGCGGAGACCGATATTTAATAGTGGCTTTCGAAACTGTGACGTGCCACGCGAAGCGTTTCTGCGAGTAATGTCTTTTTTTAATGCTTTAATTTTATTTTTTTTTACATCTAACTCGTATTTTCCTGGTAAAAAAACGATCCAAGAGGATAACAAATGTAAAAATATAAATTAGAAAATATAATACCACTACGAACTGAACCGTATACAATATCAAGCTCTCGTCAGTCGTCGCCGCGCCCTGTCTGCTATAGCTGACCAACATTATACTACGGAAATATGATACCTACCCTATATTATACTAATTGAACGTCCCCCCCCCCTGCTACAACCAGACCAGTCCAAGTCTTGTAATTTTTCAAGGTGGCCGTTTCACAATTCTTTATCTCCACAGAAAATAATTAACGAAATGTATGATAACTCAGAAGAAAATAATAGGATTTTTAAAATGACAGACGTTGTATATACCAATACAAATGTATTTTTTTCATGAAATCGTTTCCACGGAAAAAACACTTTCGGAAATATTGTGACTTGCCTGGTTGTTGTGAAGGGCCCTTCATATTATTATTATACCATTTTACGCAACGACGATTGTACAGCAACGTATAGATAAGTCTCTCCCCCCTCTCAATTTGTTTGAACATAATAGTTTTTGTGGAAATCATAGCCTTGGGAGCTGCAGGTGCGTCATTTCAAGGGGAACCATGATGAGCATTCAAACCAATTTTTTGTAAAACGCTTATTTCAGCTTTCCAAAAGTAACACCAAAGCACTGATAAGGGTTTTAAATTTAATATTGACTCAGTATTTCGAATGTTTTTTTTTCACTTTTCAAATTTATTTTTGTTGTGGTCCAACAATCCTTAGTACTTGTGGAAAGTTGGCCCCACCGCGTCAAGATATCTGCACCAAACTTGTGCCAATATTTTACAACTAATTTGCAACTTTTTGAAATCAACAAAAAAATAATGTCCAACCATATATTTTCGTCGTAATTGCTGTACCGAAATTGATGATACCTGCAAATGCACGCGCAGCCCCAACACATCGTCGTATCAACCTCAAACTTTTTTCATCATTTATAGTGCAATTGATTTGCATGTTTTTGCAACCTTCGTGAATGCATTTGCAAATCGAAATTTGAACTCTAATAGTTGAACAATTACCAAGAGAAAATTGATAATAGTAATGCATAGTGTATGATATCATATTACAGAGAAAAAATAAAAATAAAAAGATAATTTTTACGTGGCGAAACAGACACAAAATTGTCGTTTGTGCAAATTATACAACCGTGAGCCATAAACTTTTAGTTAAAATCGTGCAGTTAATAAGAAATCACAAACATTGATAAGAATTCCCAATCAAAACTTCAGAATGAAAAACAAAATCCATAAGCCACGTCCAGACCAGTATACATATTACATATATTTTCCGGGAACATATGCTAACATTCGATCGCGTTAAGGCTATTATTGCGGAAAATCAGAAAAACTGTCGGAAACAAGTGTTTCAAATATATCCTCGCAGGTCTAGACGTGGCTTAAAAATTACATTCTCGGTTGTTTATAATATTTTAAGGCTTATCGCCTGCTGCCTACTACACATTGTATACACAGACTGCTACGATAATACTTGACTGCTATAGGTTTCTATGACACAGAGTTGCAACTTGCAATATGTGGATGTATGAGACGTAGATTTATGATTGTATTACATCAAACATGTAGCTGATATTACGGTATGGTATAGAAATCTGCGGTTGTATTACTATACAACAGGTATCTGGTATATACCGCAAGGATGTACAGGGTATAAGGAATAGAGTACAATAATAAACTGTTATGACCGGATGACCTATATATACGACTTTCATTCGAGCCACGGCTCGCAAACTTTTTGGCACCGACGATTTAATCACCGCAGAAATTACTGACCCGCGAATTAATGTCCGCTTTTCTCCCGCAGGCGTCTTCCGCAAGAGAACCATGTCCGCGTCCTCCGCGTACACGCTTGTCTCGGGCGTGGCGTTCGGGTACGCCACGGTCGCGGCTGTCCAGACGCTGTCCCGACTACCGCCGCCCGTCGCCATGTCCAACTTCAACCGCATACTTTTGAACTTTGGCTACGTCACGTTGGTCGCACCGTCAGCCGTCGTGCCCGTCATCATGTGGTTCGAGACGACCAAGCTCCAGGCGTACCTGCACGAGTGGCGACTGTTCCAAGTGAGTAGCCGCGGGTTATGCCATCGGTTCGCGTGTTTGTTATATTATTGTTTTTTTTTTTTTTTGGTCGTCGTCGTCGTTCCCCGTGCAGGTATTATTATCGAAGTCGACCAAACATTGTGATAATATAATATATCATGTATTCGGAAACCCTGCGCGAGAGTGGGCAACCCACACACTCGCCGAACTAAACATAATATATGAATATTTCGGTTCCTAAATAGGGAAGCCATTTGTACGTAGGTTCTCTATATTTTAGCTAGGTACATATTAATTTACAAGTACCTAATAAAGGTTCGTTTGGAATACTGCTGGTAGTATTTTGTTAGATGTTATTTTAAATTTTAATATTACTCACGCATCCATGTAAATGGATTATATAATTATATGCATCCAAAAAATATGTCCAATAATGTCACGTGACAAGTTAATTAGTAATTACTTAGTATTATTTTATTGTACTACACTCATTTCTCTCGAGTCATGAGCAATTTTTATTATTTATAATAGAAAAGACTAATATATAAAATATATAGATATAAAATTATGCATATTTAATTTAGTATTAAAGAGTCGTTAGTTGTTATTCGAATACATAGGTACCTACACATTGGTCATGTGATATTATTCAGTATTCTGGTACTTTTTCGAATATTAAAAAAAAACCCCTTATCAGAGTTTAATGGCTTGCTTGAGAACCCTTTATTTTATACAGATTACAGACATATGTATTTAAAACCTTTCTGCTTTTTAAATGCACCTACATATGTTTTATAGTTATTTTTTGTGCGGTAGTAAAAATACACTAAAAAATGTATTTACTACCTTCATATTTTTTTTTACTTTAGTGCATTATAAATGATTTTAACATTTGAGTAATGTAGGATAAATTCATGTGGTTTTACATTATTAACTTAGCATTAACCTATAAACATTTAAATTGTTAAAGAGTCTAGAAGACAGTACGCAAATCAGTTATAACGTCTTGTATAGTATTTTATTATTATTTGATTTTATAAATATATCGTACCTATATACCTATACCTATTTTGCTTTATATAAATATAGAATAAGGCACTAAAGCTAAATTTTCATCTCGTCAAAAACGTCACATTCATTTCAGTTTCTCAAAAATAATATATTTAATGTTTAAATGTTTGAATCACATCATAAATTTTCCATTATGTTTTTATTTCTAAATTTACATAGTAACATTGCAGAAGTTTAATATTATAAATTACTAAACATAATGGAATTTGACACTGCAGTGGCATGGGGGCTTTTTAACTAGAGTCTCCTCAAACTCAAGATATCATCATCAACTACTAAGTAGCAAGTCTATACTAAGCCACTAGACATTCTATAAATTGAGTGTCATAAATCTCATTTTTACAAAAATATCTGTATAATAAGATCACTTTAATGATGAACGAATATGATTTTTATGTGAATAATCATTAATCAAGTAATGTTTATTGTTATTACAGACTACGTTAAGAAGATACTTACACACTATATACACAGTGTAGTTTATATTATTGACGTTAATATTAGCCAGCGTCGTGGAAATAACTGGGAAAATAACAGCTCAGAATTGTATACATTTTAATTTTTATCAACTACAAATGGATTTAATTACATTAAAAAATAGTTGGAAATAAATTCTAAATGTTCGTTAACAAACTAGAACAAAATGATTTGTATCATAGTTCCTACCATATTTACATATTAGTTTTTTGGTTGAGTAAATTTGTTTTCTCATTCAAACGCATTCATAAGAAACACATTAAATTTCCCTATTCCAAGTACACATACATAAATTTAACTTACAAACGAATATCTACCTCCTCTAAACATAGGTACTTACATATTATTCCTACACATTGTAAATATAAATAATATAGATATTTTAATACATTTATACTTCGAATTATAACATAATACTAAAATAATGAAAGTTCAGTTGATAAAACCCCTATATAATATGATATTATATATTTATAATTATATCGACAGGGGCCGAATTAGAGATGGATGAATCAGACTTACGCTTTGTGGCATAATATATATTATACAAACTCGGAACTGCATAATGTATACCATATTTTGATACGCAATACTACGTAGTCTTAAACTTTAATCTTACTTCCGTGGCAATTGGTTCTACTTGCAGTAGTTAAATCAGCTGGCCGATGGAAACTCGAGACAATCAAAGGACCCCCGGCTATGAGTCTGATGCAATACATGTGGATGAAACGAGCTCATAAATAATTGGAAATTGGTATTTAGAATTCGAAATAATTTGCTGTTGAGTTGAAAATAATTACAGTCCATATTCAATTCGATCAGACAGATAAAAAAAATAAGTAAAATTTGCAAAAAAAAAAAAAATATATTATTAAATATTATTATTTATTTCCACGAATCCCGCTACATCTTCACGGTACCCACGCCGTCCTGCAAATATTTATTTTTATATCTTTTAAAAAATCAATTTCATGTCATCAGAAACTCGCCAGCACACAGTGATCTGAAATGAATCTTGAAATTGAAAACAAATATGAAAAACTCATTGTTAACAAATAACAGCCAGCTGTATGATATAATACATACGAGGAATGGACCTTTTCCAATAGAATATAGATGTAAAATAAATAAAAGTTAAAAAAAAAGGTATGAATGCACAATAATATGGCGATCTCATTTTTCATTTCTCATAAAAATGTATAAGGTCTAAGCAAGCATGACAAGTACTATATAATTCTTATCATACAGGTATATACTATATTAAAACGTCACTGAATGTATTTTGTAAAATAAAACTGTGGTTTTATAAATATATAATATAAACAATATACTATGTTTACAGCTTAGTATTAGGTATACTTTACAGGCTCATATATTTCTTTATAATATTTATGTTTAAAGTACATAATTATAGCAATATTATACAGAGACTTTTATACTTTTAGACTATTTATCTTCAATAATGTATTTACACAAAATCTGGTTTTTTGAATTTTTAAATATACCTAAAATCGATAATAATATATTTTACATATATTGTACTTAAGGAGTGTCCCATAGGGATACTAAATTTTGTTTTTCAAATGATAAATCCCCCTTTCAACTGTAACAGCGATATATATATTTGTTCAATGTTGACATGATATGAAAATAAAAATGTTTGAACGACTAGTTTTTGAGTTAATTTCTTTGTGTATAATGGGTTTTGAAAATATTGGAATTCTGTTGATTTAAAAAAAATAGTGATTAATATTAATCAATCAATAGTTATATTATAATATTTGCAAAAATGGTCTAACCATAATAAATACTAGATGCAATACTAGATCTATTTTATGTTGTCTGTAAAACCATTTTTAGAGATTATTTTTCTGAGTAGATATAAACATTTTGATAACTGGAAATAACTACTAGTTCGAGTTTTGAACTTGGGACATCAAAGTTTTCAAAATAAATTATTCACTAAATAATTTACAGCGAAATAGAGGGGGAAACAAAAGTTTGTATCGCCAGAGGAAACTCCTTAAGTAGTACGCAAAAAGTCTTAAGAATTTCAAAAAAGTATGATCTTTATAAGAACCTACTTGTATTTTCAAAAGTCCACAAAATCAGAATTTGAATAAGCTCATTATTAAGAGGAAAACCGGTGTGAGCACGCTCGGCGAATCGCTCGGCATACATGCGTTTATATGCATAAGCCGTCCATATAATATACCGTCGCCCAATAGTCCGACAAAAAAAAACGATTGCTGCTCGTATTATACCGTTTTGTGTTTTGTCTTTCCGTCTCTCAGGACAATTACGACAGAGTGGTCGGCAATTCGGTTGGTACTGCAACCGTCGAGAAACGGGTGAACAGGATCTATCGATCCATAATCGTGACGTTGTCGATCGCGGGAGTTGCGATCTCGTATCTGTCGTCGACCGCGAGCAACGTACTTGTACTCGTCTGCGCGATAAAAAGCCTATCGATCATGGTCTTCGTCGCGGGATTTTGGCTGGTCGGTGCAATTGTGATCGAGGCGACAATCGACGGCTACAAGAGAAAAATACAAACGGTACGGTATTATTGTAGGGCAAACACAAGGTACAAATTATGTGCGTGGCTATCCATATTGCCTGTGCGGAAAGCATTATTGCTGCGATTTGCCCCCGTAATTTTCGTTATTATTGATTTTAAATACGCGTTTGTAGTGTGATACATCGTGGAGGTAACTATTGCGCAGAATTGCGGTCCCCAAACGACAAGACATAATGATAAACATAACGGATGGTATAGAAATTGTTTTTTGTTTTCTCGTTTTTAATAATGGTTTTTTTTTTTTTTTTAGTAGTTACTCGTGACCCGTCCGGCGTAGTCTTTTAGGTTTTCAATTGATTAAGTAACGTTTTTTTTTTTTTTCTATTGTTGTTACAAGACATTATTATTCATCTCTGTGTAGGTATATATATATGCAATACTATATTCGAGTACTGATTCATATTTTACGACACGCGGACATGTGGTCACTGCGTGCTGAATTATACAGCTGACGTTATACCCATATACATCACATAACATTATAGGTGGGTGGGTTTAGTCGAATTTAACTTTTCCCGCGTGTGGGCTAAGGGTGAATATGACCTGCCTACGCGGCTTTCAGTCGACGCGCAGATGTTTTACGATGCAAACTAAAATAAAATTCTAAAAAATAAACGGGAAAAAAATTAAAAGGAGAAAAGTGCAGGGTGCAGAGTGGGTGTGTTTGAACCCGGAAAGCCACCCACAACGCCAGCAATACGAGCCATATACATCTATATATAGCTGCTATATGTCACGCCGGCTCCGGTACACATATTATACCGTAAATATAATACACACACACACACACACACACGTATATATGTTTTAACGATATATTACATATATAGGTTGTTCGCTCCATCTATTTATTTCACCCTGGGACCCGTCTCGTCGTCCCTATTTATACACACACACACACACACACACGCACACAATGACCTATATTACGTCTCCGACTAAACACAATGCAATGGAATATTCGCGCACACAAAGGAATAGACTGCAGACCATAATGGAGGACAGGCACATGACTATACGTCGTTTGTGCAGAAGTGCGCGTGTAAAGAGTGTTACCCGGCGCTGTCCTGCACATAATATAATATATATTGTACGACGAGTGTTCCGCACAGTATATATGTGTAGAACGGGCACTTTGGAATGGCCAACGGGTGTGTGGACTGCCCACTGTTATACGGTGTTTGACGATTTTTGGTAAAACGGTACGAGCCGAACGAGTTTCGCTTAGATGTGCGTAGGTACGGTAACGGAAAAAAAATATTCCGGCCGGATGGCGTGCTTTTGAAGTTTATAAAGTAAGACTACGCAGAGACCGTATGGGATGAGAGACAATATATAGGTACTGAAATACATCGCCTACTTCGGTGGGCGAATTTTCGAAATCGCAGTTTAGGTAGGGGCAACGTGGTTTGTTGTTGTCTTGTCGATGGCCATATATATATATATATTGTTGTTAACTCAAATCGTTTTCAATAAACTTTGATTAATACGACTCTTTTTCTGTCTCCTCGACGTTTATTGCCTCGCAGCGATATTTAAAGTTTCCCGTTGAAATGGCCCGTGGGTTTGAAATGTGGAGCTATTTCACTTTCGTTCTACGTAAAAAACAATGTTACTGAAAATAATGAAACATGGCAAAATAAAATCGCCCTATGATAAGGGCGTGTATAAAATTAAATAAATATAATAAATAATAATAACAATCGATCGACTGACAACTGTTAATACTATTATTACTATCGAAACGTATTTCATCACATTTATCTATATACAAATGATAAAGCACCCGTATTTGTTTAAGCTTTACACGGCCGTGAGTCAGTCAGTTTTTGAAGCTTACACGTCCAAAATTGGTTTAAAAAAATAGGACTTTTCGAAATTGATAAAAAAAACATATAAGATGTGAACCGATCCGTTTAAAAAAATAGTATAAGTTGTATTGCGGATACTCCGCACGCCAAAAGGGAATTATTCTAAAAATGGGCCCAGAATGTGTGTTTCAACATAATATCTATTCTATCCCCCTCGAGAATTCCCATTTCAGTCTTAAGTCATTGGGACCAAATAATGAGCGTTACTATTTAAGCGAAACACAGTGTATCCATAAACATATTATTTCGTTTCCAACTGATGACGCGAATCCTATTCGAGCATTATATAACTGTACGCGTCCTCGTAATTAAATCCGTTTTAATATCTTATGCAGGTGCGTATAAAAGTGTAGATGCATCTGAATAATAGACAATATTATATGCAGTCTATGTGTTTATTTAACGTGTGGCTGCACAAAGCAATTTGAGTGCACACTGTGATTATTATATTATTAGACATGCGCAGACTTTATTCGCAGAATATGCGCCTGATGTGATCCCCAAAAATAAAAATGCACCTAAATAACTATTAATCGACGGCCGTATACTGTCTTAAACATATTCGCGATAACCGTTTTCGTTAACACTGGTGCTGTTAATAGCTAGAAAAAATATGGAAAATAAAGACACATCATTCGCCGAAACGTGTTATAACGCCACATGGAACTCGATGGGGTGGCGAATGATGCAAGTTTTCTAGGGCGGCAAACGTTTAAAATGTGTATGATAAATTGGGTTGAAAATGGAAGTCATCGTGGTACCGGATGCGGAACCACAATAATGCTCGAATAATGAGAAGACGCAGAAACCATCGCGCATGACGTTTTATAATATCATATAAACCAAATTTGCCTGTTACACTTAAGTCGGGTTCGCAGCCACGTCAAAAGTTGAGCTCGGCCTGACTTTGGAAATTTCCCGGTAGATCATCACTGTTAGTACCACGGTTGCCTACAGCGGATAATCAGAAAACGATAAAAGCCACACGTCACCACGGCCGACGACGTACAGCAGTGAACCCGGATTTAGGTGAAGGTATACACACCATAAACGCGGTATTCGGTAACGAAACATCATTTGATTGAAATTCGTTTTTATTAACCTATTTATAAATCGTGGGTGCTTTTATATCATACGACTCCTATAATAGGCAGGTATAAAACTATTTACCACCTGGTTGGTTCGAATAAATATTCGTGGTGTGTGCACTATTCATTAATCGGTTCCTGGTTTTAAACTTAAGATATAGTTAAGATCTAATTATTAATTGCCAACATACTGCAGTGGATAACATTATTTTAGTATCTGTTGTAGCGCACACTATTCATATAGTGTTTGTACTTTTTACCGATAATAATGACAAATGAGAAATGTACATATATGTGCCTGTCAAATATTATGAACATTCAATATGAAAAACGTCGACCATTTTGTTTGGGCATTCAATATGTTTGGTTTGGTACATTTTGATTGTACTCGTGAAAACTAATTTATCATCACAATCATCTCTGCGTTTAAGTATTTCTACCACTATAATCATAATATAGTGTTTCGACGTGTCATAAATGCCACACAGTCATTCGTCCAGTTGACCCGAATATTTTAACGAATCTACCTACAAGCGAATTGTTTTCGAAATAATTCGGCTCATAAAATACGAACATTTTTTTTAAAAAGGTAGCCAAAAGATTTTTTAGACGATTTGAATATTTAATTTAAACAATTTTTAAGTTTTTCACAAAATATGTTGTTATTACTAATTTCTAGTAACGATAATAAGAATAAGAATTTTGCCTATACTTGTATTTAATTAATTTTAATTTAATTTATTTAAAATTGAATTCCGGGTTTTCCACAAGTATCGATATGTTATAACTACTTTTGAGTCTTTCGCTTATGTTAATAATATACTTGAGCTGGGGTCTTAAAATTACATGAACTTAAGTTTTTACAGATATTTCGTGAAAAATCAATCCCGAATTAAAGAAAAAAAAAATGTTTCATCACCTACACATGTACATACTTGGAGTGAGAGGACAATTTTAATGGTAGGTTCGTATTGTACGAAATAAATATAAACCGATAACACATTTCGTAATATAAAATGTAAAAGTTTCTTTATAATAATATTTGCCTCGAAAAAAAAAAAATTTAAACGTATCTGTGAACGCATTTATAGGTAAGGGACGCGGTTTTATTTGTGGCCGTCACCGCAGAGGTGAGAAATGAGTTACAATAGTTGTAGAGCTAACACTTTTTCTACAATGGCAGGCAGTAACCTCGCGCACGGCCGTAAGCACAACACACAAGAGTCATAAACTCTCGTATTATCTGGGGTTAAAGTGGGGGGGGGGGGGACGCAAGAGGACTCAGTTCCCCTACCTCTGACGGCGGTTAAAAGGCCAACCCTTTGACGAATTTGGATTTTGTACGTTAGACATTATGTATACAATTATATAAAATATGGAACGCTCAAAACTATATGGAGACGTTAGTCCCCTCTGGAATTTTGTCTCACTTTAAACCCTGCGTATTATATTAATATTGTTGTAAGCGCGCGTGACTCGCGGTGTCACGACGACAACAACAACGCAGATTTAATAAAAAACGTGTGGCAATATTTTTGACGTCATCGTTAAAAAAAAAAAAAAACAATGCCATCACAATAATAATATACTGTTCTATACATATATATATATATCGGAATAATATCTAATGTCGGTGCAGTGCAGTGCACGATGATATTGTGATAATGTTGTGTCTCTGAACAGGACTTGGACGGGAACGTGATGGATTTCGGATTGGCCGCCCGGTCGGTGGAAGACTACCGGCTGCTGTGGCTGCAGATGAGTCGGCTGGTGCACGGGGCCGGCCACTACATGTCGGCCACGGTGACGTTTTGCATATTTCACACGACCGTGGCCGTCGTCTTGAGCGTGTACGCGCTGGCGGTGTGGGGCGCGACGCTCGTCGCACTGCGCCGGTACGAGCCGCTCGCGTGCGCCGCGGTCGCGCTCGTCTGCAACGCCACGTCGCTGTACGTGTACTGCGATCGCGGTTACAGCCAGACGAGAAAAGTCGGTTATCGTTTATATTTTTTACAATACGCCATTATATATTATTATGATATGCGATTAGGGCTGGGATTTCGATGCACTTTGCATTGTTTTTCAAAGATTACTCATGTGCAATGCTCGTCTTGTCACAAATTTGTTTCGTGCACATTTCAATGAGAATAAGAAAGTTAATTTTGGCATTTTTTGGTTTTTAGGTCATTTTCTTAATTTTTTAAGGCATTTTACAGTTTTTGGAGCATTTTTAGAGTTTTTGGAAACCAATAAGTGTATGAATTTGAAATTTTATTTCAAGATTTTAAGATTTTTACACCAACATGGTTTTTAAATAAAAATAACAGATTATAAGTAGGTAGGTACTCGTAATTCGTACTATATTATCGGACAATCTACTTTTTTTTTAGATTTATACTAAAACTATGAAATTTACAGTTTACACTTGTAATAGATTTTTATAATGCATTTTTAAAACTTTTTATTGTAATTTATACTAAAATTATTAAAAATAAAAAAATTTGTAGATCATAAAAGCATTTTCCTTAGGGCATTTTTCGGGGTTTTTTAGGGCATTAAAATCCCAGCCCTATATTATATGATACACCCGGTGTGATAATGTTTTCCGTCCCTGGTCGCGTGCCGTTTACCTGCACGGGCTCCGCGATGTAGACGTAGTATTTTCACGGCGACTTCTCGAGCACATCGATAGGTACGCTCATCATTGTGCGTCCACCCGAAATACGGGTGTAATATTACGATCGAGGACACCGGCAGAGATATGAACGGCGAGGGGGGAGGATAATAATAATAGCCAAAAATCTCTGACGCGCAGCACACACTTTTTTTTTTTGTCTTTACGAGTGATAAGACAATTGATATGACATTCACTCAAATGGCTCCCACGGGTATAATAGTTAATTCTGTTGCCCTCGATGTGTCAATAATAGCTACGACCTACCCGTAATTATTATTGGAGGTGAATTTCTTTATAATACCTATACGGCTATACACGATATACAACCACTCTTAATAATATGCCAATAGCTGTTATCCCCACTCGATGTACCTACCTATGCTTATATTATTATAAATTATGATCGCCACAAGACTTTTCACCATTTTAACATTTAAACCGTAGGAATCGTTCCTTGTTATGGTGGTAAGATCTTTGTATTATTTCTGATGACATTTAATACGGTGCGAGATACCTATACAGTTTACATGTGCATTTTTAAGCTTGTAGCTAGAATTCGAAAAATTCAACAAGAATAATTATATTTTGCACAAAGGTACCTATGACTTATACTATACACCTACTGGTTAGAGAGATTTCCCGTGTACGAGCACAATATTTAATTTATTTGGGTTAAGATTCCTTTTTTATTGTTATAGCAAGTTAAGGTGATGCAGAGCGGTTGCGCAAAATGTGGCCACGCCCATAGTAGACGCATCTCCATAATTTTCCATTTTTTTACCTACTATTTAAGGGAAAAAGAGCTACAAAGCAAAACACAGCTATGCTATTTTAATTTTCTACTCTTATCAAAAATACCGATTTACTCAAAACCGTATTACGTGCCTTAACGACGAATGTTTTTATCAATCTATACGTGTCAGAAATAAATCTAGAGTTGTATCAGTTATGGACAAACTCGTAAAATATAAAATAAAACAATGAGCCCACTTTTTATACATGTGTGATAAAGGTACTGATTTATTTATGTTAAATATTATACGTATACAGTAGATATATTTAATAATTAATAAAGTATATTAAAAAAAAATATTTTGTCTAAATATTTTTACACAACTATCCAGCATGAAAATGGTAGTTTTTCACAAATCTATTATGTACACCAATTTTAATTATTTTAACATGGGAAATATTATAACGTTTTACTTTTCAGTCTGAAAACAGATCCTAGACAAGTTCTGAAAACATTTTTGATAACGGTAGCTTGTAGCTGCGCATTTCGCTTTAGTTAGTTTCTATACATTTAAATACTGAATAATATCGTTGGAAGTGGTGACTTTTTATGTTTTGACATAGTTTCGTCTAAGGAAAAAAAGCGTCTTGCACTAATCATGAAACGTTGAGGTCAGTGTTTAACATATGAGCATGCGATAAATAGTACGTTTTAACAAAATCTAAGTATATCTGACCATGCTGTATAATATTGTAGCAATTTTTTCTATCACAGATTCAAAACTGATATAGGTGTATATATAGACACCTACTTCAATATCGATATATTTTGAAACAGTACCTTTTGCAATTTTGCATTATAATATTAGTAAAAAACGTTAACTAACTAATAAGTAATAACTGAAATTACGCAAAAAAAAAAACAAAAAACACAAACCCGGGCAAACGATTAAAAATATACAAAGAGTAAAGATCAATAATATAAACCAAATTTCAATACCACAGAATATATGAAATAATAATTTCATATATTTTGTGATGATACCACACAGCAATTTTAATATATACCTATTTATACCTACATAGCAATACCTATAGACACCTGGTTGACAATGCCACTGTTGCCACCGCACTACCGCAGTCGTCCTATATGTAGGTATACTCCTATGAAAAATAAATACCAGACTACCAGTGTACACTATAATAGATGCTGGTATGGGTGAAAAGGGAAATCCGAACTACCCATTTTATAGCATGGCACCTGTTAGGTGAAGAAGTAATGAAGAATTATTACACCGATGGGGTGTAGCGAATAGTCGTCTGACATTTCGGAGGGGGAAGCCTTAAGCCTATTACCTACATAGCTATTTTGATTTTATTTCATTTAAATAACGAATATCTAACCAATAACTTAATTAGGAAAAATTTTCAAAATTTTTTTTAAAATTAATTTAGGAGTATTTGTATTTTTGTCCATATAGGTATTTATCTAGGGAATTTTTGGGTCAGGTCGTAATAAATTATTCATTTATTAGAAGTTAACATACTGCAGCTGATGCACATACTAAGAGGATTACTAAAGCAACATTTCAACCGTTGCAATTTGTCAAAAGTATGGCTTAAACTTTGAAAATTCATCGGCCAAAAGGGCAAAAACTTGCTTTGAATACAATTTCCCGCATTGAATGAACCAAGCCGATTCCAATATAATGTAATCGCCTCATCGACACCTGTGTTAGTTTGTCCCCCCCCCCCCCCCCGGTAGAAGGGCCACTGGCCATACCAATGGTGGTACACACCTTATTACCTTCCAATACCGGCATTACCTATAGATTTAGCCAGGGCTGTACTATAAAAACTTTATACAAACATTTATTTTTAATTTTAATAAACAATATTATACACATAGTATCATTTTTTTCATATACCATCATATTCACAGTGCGTGGACAGCGTGATACTACTTATATTGAAAATGAAGTCGTCGGCGAGATGGACAAATTCGAATTACATTCAGGTAAAAGAGCAGTTTATAATATACTGCACGCACCCGACGCCGTATGTATATTATATTATATACCTAATGGCTAATACATATAATATTATCATTATGCGATATCCTGTGATTCCCGATATCGGACGAAAGTGGAGCGGTCCGATACACAACAAATTTTTTTTCCAACTTTCGTATCCACATAATAACAGCGTGACATGGGCCAATGAAGTGAACACATATAGGTAGTTATTGGCGTTCGTTTGTGTGCATTCTACTTAAACGTCAATACCTACACCATCATCTACCTATACAATGTCTATGCACACGGCTGTTTCTGAAGGGGGGAATTGCAAAATCAATCTATTTTTTTAAGCTATCGAATGTACGTTCTTCATACAGCTAGAGTTATTGCCCGAGCACGATTGTCCCCTATTTTAATCCTTTGATAATTAGTTTATTCAAAATTTCAAAATTTTTCTGGATATTGACTTGTCCATGCACACCCAGAGAGAAACGGTTCCACAGGGCCAGGTGCTGCAGTAATCTTAAGGGTTGTAACATGTAATACTGACATACTGAGGGTTTTCGCATCGCATTTATTTTGGATGTCTACTATCACACCCGTCAAAAATACCATGTTGTTCAAGGGCACCGTTTCCGTTTATTTTAAAAGCGTGGCAAGTTTTCTCTACTGCCAGTCTTTTCGAAAATGTTTCATATTGTCGCACAAAAAGTCCGATGACTGATATTAAAATAGGCACTCACGATCGGACGCCACGTTTAAACAAGGTGATTTCACGAATACGAGTATTCGCCTCAGCACACTAATAACATTTTAGTTATAAATAAAATATTTATAACGGTTACGACAATACGACATAAAAGCATTTGGTAAAAATAAGTGTGTTAATTTGTTTTATTGACTTTCATTGAATGTTTCTTTATTTTACAAATTGCTCAATAGAATGTTGATTGGGGATGAGGCTGATTTACCCTTCACTTGCCCACGAGATGTCACATGTCACCTATGAAGTTCTCCATAGCCTATACCCAGAGGTATTCAAACTTTTTTATTCCGCGGCTCTTTCTCTTGGCAACATTTTGGTGGATCTTAAAATTATTATGAGAACACGGAAAGAAAATCATTAAATGTTAAAATATTTATAATAAATAATATGGTACACAGTCGGACTTGGTCGACTCGAATTTGAAGAGACCACGGCCAAAAACTTCCAGTAATCTAAGGTTAATACGACAATAAAAAAATTGTAGGGACCGAGAAAAACTTCGGGGCATTGACGATTTTTAGTTGATCAAGTTTGACTGTTTTATAAATACATAAATTAGGTCAAGACAACAAATTTAATAATATCATTGAATAGAAAATTGAAATCAACTAGTACTCATCTTACGTTTAAAATCAAATAATATATAAATCGTCATCATTGATATTTTTTCGATTTCTGTGCCATAGCTCCCCTGACAAGTACTCGTGATGCACTGTTTGAATACCTTTGGTCTACCTATACAGTACCCGCTCATTGATTTTCCGGATTGCTTCAATATTAACAATTTTTTTACATCTTAACAGATAACGATGTTTTTAAATGCCGTAAATCAATATCAACCAAACGTGAATGTGATCGGTTTCTACGAAATCAACAGAGGATTGCTTGGCTCGGTTAGTAGTGAACAAGCAGAAGGGGGATTGTTCAAAGGTCAACATCCAATATTCACATGCATCACATATATATTTTTTTAGATTTTATCCTTGCTTTTGACATACTTAATAGTTCTCGTACAACTGAATTCTTCGTTTACCACGCCGAGTACTGCAGAGCGGGACTACAATACAACAACGGCATGAATGAAAGGAAGCGGTTATAATCAGAAAAATATTCATTGTTAAATTAATATTTTATTTTTTTAAGAATTTAAATTTCCAATTTCTTATAATTAATGTACTTAAAAAATAATCACATGTAAAATAAATATCGTGAATAAATAATTAAAATAATTTTATAATGGTGATTTTTTTATCAATTTACTAGGTATAACATATTTTTCATTGACGTAGGTAAGTGTTCAAGATGTTTTTAATGTGATTTGATGGATCCGCTACATTCAAACCTAGAATAAAATAAACACAACTTATTTTATGACAACATATTAGTCAATAACATTTGATCTGTTAGGTGGTTAACTATCCTAATAAACTCTTAATTACTGATATTTCATTAAAACTATATACCAAAGTTAGTTAATAAAATTTCTGTCTAATGATACTGTTATAAATCAATTTTATATTGCATTGTTTATATATTATTGAGAAAAAGTACAGTATTTTAAAAAATATAAAAAAAAAATTTGTTTAGTCAGTCACAGATTGAAAATTTAATTAAATAAAAAAAAGAAAATAACAATATTTAAACTAATACCCAATACTTATGCACTATGTACCCACAAATTTTTCAGAATAGTATTCAAAGTTGAATCCAATTTACACATTGCTAATATAAAATACTGACAAGAGTTAATTTTTGGCATTAACGGTTTTGAAATTATAGCAGATAAAAAACAAAATTGTGTATACGATGTGTGTAATCAAAGACAGTTTTGTACCTAGGCCCAAGTCCATCTTATACTACTGGACTAGCAATGAGCGTATGGAAAGTGTAACTACACAGAGGGCACATTTCGATTACTCAATTACTTGTACGCACGGTATTGCGGGGTAGCCGAGTAAGATATATAGATACACAGATTATTGTATTTTTTCGTAAAAAGAGCCTACATCACTATAAGATGTTGTTGCGCAGCCTGCATGCTGTTGCTATACACAGTTTGTGTCTAGTAGTCAAAGGTGTATGAAGCCCATTATCTCATTGATATCATTATAATCTCATTTTAAAAAGTTTAATATATTACTTATTTATGTACTATACTATGAGTTATATAATTTTTGTTACTTGGTAAAATCTGAATAGCATTGATTTATAAATAAAATTTAAAAAAATCCAAACAAATTTAAAAAAAAACACATATAATGTATGATGATAAATTTGGGTAAGTTTTGCAGTTTATGCATAAGAATTAAAGAAAAACTAAAAATTAAAAAAAAACATTTCAATTTGCAACTAAAAACATGGTTACAAGTTTATCATACAGCCCATTCGATAAAAAAGAAAAAGATTAGAAACACATTTTTAGGCAAATTATAACTAACACATTTCTTGTTTTTACTCAGAATTTCAAATCAGTTTGAAAAAAAAAATATAGGTACCCATATCTAGATTTATCTCACAACTCCATAATATACATTAGATAAGGTATTTAGATAATTTATATCTTACCTGCAGCATCACAAAGTTCTTCAAATGAGGTACAAGGTAGGAAATCTACACTTAAAGCATTCATCATCATCTCTGATGATTTGAGCAGAGTCTCATCATTGTGACGAATATAGTCAGCTAAGCTAACCGACCAACTTTTACTTTCGGAAACCTCAACGGTCTGTAAGTGATATAAAAACACAAGTGTCAGAAAATTATATTAATTTAAAAAATGTCACTCATTACCTTGAAATAACATTCATACATCTTATTGATTATTACAAAGAACATAAGAGCTGATTTGTAAGCAGTATAATCATGGGGAGCCATAGGCACAAAATGTACTTTGGGTGCTATTGAATAATTAGTATGATGAACATGAGCCATCAATATTATTCTATTTAAATGTATTAGACGATTTGTCGACATCCATTTAGAGAACGGAGTTAACATAATGGCCATTGTGAGATAGTATAATGGACCTTCAGTATCATAAAAACTATCAATCAACTGTTCAGCAGACTTTGGTTCTAGGTATGTGTTTAAATTACGTTCCTCTGCACTGGATCGCCTAGTCCTAAATGTATATTATGTTATTAAAACAATTATAACAAAACATAAATTATTGTTACATACGTGTTAATCACATATAATGCCATGTGCATGAGGTATGGAAGTAGATTCATATTCGACTGAGGTCCACCACCTCCAGTGTCTTCGTGGAAACTCTTGGCTTGTGCAAATCTGAATAAAAGTAACTTAAGATCATGCACAGTTTGCATGTAACTTATATCTCTTTGGCCAGTAGCTTCTTGTAAATATGAATTATGTCTAGCTAAGCAATTTGCATATGCTGATTCAGCAACTGATGGACCCCACATTGGCAATAAACCATTACACTTTGTGTTTGCATTTTGTAAGGCTGCCGATTCCCATTCATCTCGAACCCTTGCAAGTCTAAAAAATACAATTCAATTTTTTTTTAAAATAAATTATACATAAATATTGTTATTTATTGGTCCATAGTAACTATAGACAATAGGCAGGCTGGTCCCTGAAACAATGATTTTCAATAAACATACATTTACAGACAGTAAGCCTAATGAACCAGACTAATGCTGATAAGACAGTTGTAGAGAAGTATATGTTACACAATTTAAAGAATTAAAACTTTATAAAGTTAGTCAACTGTTCAGTGATTAAAATTAATAACAATTTTTATAAGATTTTTATATGAGAAGCCAAATTGTTTTGTTTGTTGTTTATAGTATACCTATATAATATTACATTTTAAATAAAAGAAAGCTCAACAAAATATTAAGTTGTTGCTTAAGTATTTGGCCTAATCTGACTTTACATTATAAATATATAAATTAATATATATTATATATTTATTTTTAATAAATATGTGTAATAATTGTAATAAATCATTTAAAATAAAAATGTTGGCATTGTAAAATTATACACAAGCATTTAGATCGCAAACTAAGATTAATTGGACTAGAAACGAGCAGCTTATTTAGTGGCCTCTGGCCACAGATATGTGTACAAAAAACGAGTGCAGGGGATAGCAATAGGCACCGAGATTTTACAATACCATCTGTATAAAACATGAATTAAGATACAAAATGTGATGCCATATAAAACCACCAATAGGTTGAAAAACATTTGGTACAAAGTGTAAGAAACCTTTTGGTGGCTATCCTAAAACCATGTAGTCTCCTGTCCATCATATCTTAGTCTGTAATTTAGGCTAAGATTTGTTGATTATGCACATATTTTCTTGTTTTTAATTAAAAAAATATCATATACTTTTAATTCTACAAGGTAAGCAGTACAAAATAATATTATATTAAATGTGGCTTACCTAACGGCAGACATATGACAGTCAAAATGAACAACATTGAAATGTGTTACAGTACTGTACCCAATAGTTTTACGAGCTTTCACTTCATGTTCTTCAACAACACACCTCTTGGTAAATGTGTAAATACCTAATACTTTGGTTGGTTGGAATTTATATCCCTCACGGCAAATTACACACACTAATCCAGTCTCTTCTCCTAAATCTTCTACTTGTTGCAATAACGAAGTCTCAGCGGTTACTTGACCTTTTTCATTAGTACGCATTCCTAATTGTCCAAGTTGTTTTTGTCGCATTGCCATTGCTAATCGTTTTTTCTCGGCTTTAGTTTGTTCACGAACTTGTTCTATTTTTTCTGCCATTTTTGGATTCGTTTTTAATGCTTCTAATAAATTTTCAGCAAGAGATCCAACATGTTCATCTGATGACACTTGTTCTAAGCAATGTACTGTATGAATACATTCATCAGAAACAGCAGTCTGAAATTATTATAAAAAGTTTAAATTGAATATAAAATAGTCGACAATATTTTTCAAATGAAAATTAATCCCCCAAAAAAATGTATTCTAAGCAGTTTGGTTATATTGTTTTTAATTAAATAAATATTATTAAAAATAATATTTTATTTTTTATTAATTCTTGTACTTCTCTAGTTTTTATGTTTTTAGTAACTCTTATGTGTAATTGAAAAATGATTTCTTCAAAGTACTAGCCAGATATATTTCAGATTAATAAAGGGATATTTTGAAGTACGCTTTTGGTCCAAAAAAGTATTAATAACACATTATTATAAAACTAAGACATCTTATGCTTATTTGCTCAAAATCTAAAATAACTCAATTTTTTTTTATTTTTAAGCTCCGGCAATTGAGGCCATTACCTGTAGGTTGTGGGACTGTAGGGTTATGGAACACGTGTGTGTTTGTTTGGCAGAATTTCTAGTGGGCACCCATAGGTTTCTGACATGCCCAGGTAGAGGATGGCGGCCTCTCTCTCCAGACACCTTGACTGCCTGGAGAGAAGTGCCGCCCGTGACCAAGGTTTGAACCGGCGACGGTGCGCGTTGCAAACGACGCATTGTCCACTCGCCCACTTCGTCCCCCAACTCAATTATTTATTAAATATATTTTGACTATTTTAAAAACAATGTAAAATGTATAATTTAAATATTTAATAATATACCTGAGTTGGTTCATGGCCATTAGCTAATCCAGTCCAAAATCTTAAAATATATTTTAAAGAAGGTTTAGAAATGAATTCTTTCCATTCATCTTTATCATTGTTCTTGTTTAACGTTGCTTTTACTGTGGGTGCATGACGCTACAGAGTAAATAAAGTTATCATAAAATGCCACTTGAATTTATAAACTTACAAACTATACTTACTGATATATATTGGATAACATTATTAATAACCCCAAGGGAAAGAATATAATCTTTTAATGTATTTCCAAGTGAATTATTTTCAATTCCATATGTCAAATCACAAAACAAATTCATCTAAATAAATTTAATATTTATTATTTATTTACAAATGTAATGATTTTATTAGTCATATTACCATTTGCTCATCTTGAGCAGAGTGAACATCATCAAATTTTTCAAAATCAGAAATCACTGAAGCAAAATGGTCCATGAGAATAATCATTTTAGCTTTATTATTGTACGTAAGAGCAGCTAAGACGCGTGTTAGATGCTGAACAATTGTATAGCGAGCATTTGATGCACAGTGTAGAAGATATCGAATATGATCATCAGGGCCAAATG